TGGGTCTCTAGGCTTCTTTGAGTGTTGGTCACACTGCTTTCCCTTGGGGACCAATTTAATGATTCTTTTCCTAATTGTGCCTAATATGGTGTAAGTTGTCCTTTGGTAAAGTTATTTCTGACCTTAGCATATTATGACCAGATACCACTGCCCTCTGTCCCTTTTCTGTTCTCATAAAACGTTCTGGGATTGTTCTCCGTGACCTACAGTAAGCTGGGTTTTAGGTGGACATTAAGAAGATGGGTTTGCTGTTCCCACAGTCTGATGTGCTGTCCTTGGTGTCTGCTCTGTGCTGCCGGTGCCCTCATCTGCTCACCAGGCCCACTCTTGCCAGGGCTGATGGCGGATACCATGGCATTTGCTTTGACCCTGTGTTTATACGTCTTCCCTTGCCTCTGAAGTTTGTGCTTCATATAGCTGGCGCTGAGTTACCTCGTTCTTGTGTATTCATCATACACAGCTTCACTGGGAGTTGAGTCCTTTGGTGAGGAAGTACCTGCTGGTCTCACTCAGGCTTGGAGTCCACATTCCAGCCCTGCCCCTTCCCTGTGCCCCTGCCTGATAGGCTTCTGAATGCTCCTGTGGTTAGCTTTTATCTTTGTAGTCTTTGTGTCTCTGATACAGAGCACAGCTATGCCGACCCGACCTGGAACTTTGCCTAGGCAGGGAGGCCCATACATGCGTCTTCTGATGTAATTGAAGGATTATCCCAGCCCCCAGAGCTACAGTGTCCTCTTTACTGTGTATCTTTTAAAAATGTGGTGTGTTATCTATATTTTTCTCTTTTTATAATCCTTTTAAGAAGGGTTATGTTTTAGTTCTCTAGATTCCCTTTCTATCTGCCCCTCAACATTTCTAGGAAGTTGGTTCTGCTGGGGTTTGGGGGTCACTGCCCCGTGCTGCCCTGCACTTGACCGTCTGTTGCTGTCTGGCTTCCTCCCTATGCAGAGGAATTGGTCTTTTCACCTGGAGTTCCAGGGACTCTTCTGTGTCATTACCACCCCTGGATCAGTGTGCTGGGGTGTATGAAGAGCATTATCAACCCAGTCTCTACCTGATAACGTTCATAGGTGGTTTTTATTTTTATTTTTTTTTTAGAGATTGATTTTGCTTTTATTTCTGTGTATATGTGTGAGTGTCTGTCACATGTGTGCAGATGCTGTGGAGCCCAGAAGAGGGCCTGGGATCCCCTGGAGTTAGAGTTACAGGTAGTTGTGAGATGCCCTATGGGGGTCCTGGGAACTGAACTTGGATCCTCTGGAAGAGCCTTGAGTACTCTGTCGCCACTGAGCCATCCCCAGCCTCACGGGCATAGTTTTGCTTTTCTTTTTGGGAACTCCACTTTATATTTCTGGGATAACTTTTGACCTATGCTCTGACTTAACTTTTGACCTTGCTCAGTCGCCTCCTCTTTGAACGCTTGGCAGTCTTCTTGATGTTCAGTTTGGCTGGTTCTCCTTTGCCTTTGCTACGCCTGTTTCCAGGCTAATGCTCTCTTTTGTGTCTTTTAGAGGTCATCCTTGTTTCACAGTGTCCTGTTTAGGTCTGTCTCTATGGTCTGTTTGGATCCCCACCCCCACCCTCGTATTTTAGATTTCAAAAACTTTATGTGTGCTAGTACTTTGTCTGCATAGATGCCTGTGCACCACGTCCATGCCTGGGGCCTGAGGAGCTCAGAAGACAGCATGCAAATGCCCCTGGACCCAGATTTACAGACGGTTGTAAGCTACCATGGGGTGCTTGGAACGAAACCCTGGGTCCTCTGCATGAGCAACAAGTGCTCTTTAACTGCTGGGCCACAGCTCCAGCCCCGGCGTTCCTGAGACTCGTCCTTCATTTTCGGAGTCTTCCCTTCCGCAGTGTGCCCTGCCGCGCTGTGCTTGGGTGGGATTTTGCCATCAGTAAAAAAAACTTTGTTTCTTCTCCCAAGTTTAATGAGCTCCCTTTGAGTAGGTCATTCACCCCGAGGGATACTCTGTGCCAGTTTCCTCTCTTACCCTAAATGATCATGACGTGTGCACTCGCAGTGCCGGATGTCTGATGGAGACACGTGCTGTAGAACACAGGGCTCGCCAAACATTTCCGTCCGGAAGCGTCCTGCTGGACAGCAAAATGTAGCTTAAGAAACAACACATGGGGCTGGAGAGGTGACTTGGCGGTTAAGAGCACTTGTTGCTCATGTAGAAGACCCCTGGTCAATTTCCAGCACCTAGTCTGTGACTCACAACCATGTGTAATTTCAGTTCTAGGGGATCTAACGCCCTCTTCTGGCCTCTGCAGATACTGCATGCATGTGATGCACATGTTACATGCAGGGAAAACTCTCATACACATAAAATAAATCTTTAAAAGACAGACAAAATGAAGACCCAGAGAGGAGACCAGCAGGTGTCTTCCACTGTTGAGTTCCTTTGTTTCTGACATAAACTCAGTTCTGCGGTTCTGTCCTTCATTTACTTCCCTAAGGGCTCCCAGTGCCTCCTCCTCCTTAGCTCCTCTGAAGCATCTTTGTTCTGTGACTGGCGGTTCTATTCTCATGCACCCCGGTTCTATTCTCACGCACCCCGCACCCTGGCTGGAGGCCCGGGAGTTGGTGCTTTGGTCCTGAAGCCCATCTGTCTCCACTTGTGGCCTCTCTTCTGGGTTTGTGTGCTGCGGCCAGAAGCCCACAGCGCTTCCCTCCTTCCTACTGCAGGTTCTCTTGTTCTTCAGCACACAGTGACATCAGGACAGCATCTTCATGGCCATTTCTTGCTTCACTGATTGACAGCATTCTCAATTCTGATTTGAGAACATGGCCCTTGCTTCTAGAATTCTGAGGGCCTTGGACGTGGAGCTGGGGGGGGGGGTCCCGTTGTTTACTTGCTTTCTCCTTGACATTCTTATTTTAATTTTGGCACGTCACTATCTTCAGGATGCATGTCACTAAGCCCAGAACCTTAATGAGTCACTTTTAGAGAGAGGCTCGAGGCCTCCTCCTGGGGGTGGCAGCTAGTGACAAGAGGACCAAGGGCAGACCGGGCTGTATTCTCTCCCAGAGGCTTCACTGTGCCCCCTGGGACGTTACTGTTGTAGTTCCTGCAGCACACCCGAGCATGCCGCCTGAGCAGGGCTGTGTGGCCACCACTCACGGCTTCAGCTCCACTTTCCTTCCCTGCACTGCCTCATTCACCCACTTGCAGGTTCCGGTCCTGGTTCCACAGCTCCAGCTGCCTCTCTGCGTGGGTACATACAGAGTTGTGCCCTTTTAATCACCAGTGTCATATCCGTGTGGCTCTGAGGGTGGGAGAGGCTAAAGATGAATACAGGCTAATGTTGCAATAGTTGATAGGAGATCTCTTTGGTTCCTACCCCCCAGCCCCGTGTACGGTATTGGAGATCAAACCCAGGGTTTTGTGAATGCTAGGCAAATACTCGACCATTGCTCTATGTCCCTAGCCCTTGGATTTTTGAATGAATGTCTTAGCTATGTATTGTAAGCTAGCCTTGAATTGGTGATGCTCCTGCTGCAGCTTCCCAAGTGCTGGGATTACAGGTGGAAAATACCATACTCAACTCTTATTTTGTTTAGTGTGTGTGTGTGTATTCGTAGTGTGTACAAGTACGTATGTATGTGCATGAAGTGGTCAGAGATTGATATTAGGTATGTTCCTCAATTGCCCTCCATCCTATTTTTTGAGACACTCTTTCACTATAATTTACCAGTCTGGCTAGACTAGCCGGCCAACAATCCCCAGGAATTCTCCTGCCTCTGCTTTCCCAGCTCTGGGATTTTAAGTGTGTGCCACTGCATTTTGCTTTATACACAGGTGCTTGGGACTGAACTCATGTCTTTGCGATTGTAAAGCAGGCACTTTACCAGCGGAGGCATCTCTCTACTCCCTTGTTTAACTTTTTTTAAGCATCGCCTTAGTTCATATACTACGTATAAATTAAGTGACCTTGGTATCCCGCACACTGACTTAAGGGCCCAGCTCCACACCATGCCCTCAAAGCTAATGCCATATTTGTGCAGAGCTGTCCCAGGTGTAGCACCTGTGAAGAAGGGCGGGGGGGGGGGTAGGCTTCTTGCAACCTTGGCTGCCATAGAATCCCATTGCACCGGTATTTTCTTTTTATTTGGCTTGGAACTTTATGCTATGGGTGAGTAACACACACCTGCTGGAGACAGCCTCCCGAAACTGATTATCTGGACAGCTCTGGGAAAGGCAGGCACAGCCTGGGCAGTGATCACTGTTGGTGCATTGATCTCACATGGCCAAGCATAGGATGCTGTTGTAAGTAAGTAAGCCTTTTAGATGTCCCTACCAATCACCTGGGCATGCCATGGATATGTACCCAGAGCATATATAACAAATAGCAGGGAGGGCAACGGTGAGATGAGTGCTTCCAGCAAGAAATCGATGTCTAGTGCTGGCACCAGACCTGAATTCAGAAAGTGACAAGTCAACAGCACAGGCTGAGGCTACCATGAGGCTGGAGAAGACTAGACAGTGCAGAAGATGGTTCCAGTAGCCTTGCTGCAAGGGGAAGGTGAAGAGATGGGTAAGATTACATTTGTGGACTGTGAACACAGCAAACCAGCAGTGCACTTAGTGTGTAATCTAATAACTGCCATTTTAAACTTGGTGCCTATGCAGATATATATGCTGGATATTGTATGTAGATGATGCATATACTAAATATGATAAATAGAAGATATATATGCTAAATGTTATAAGCAGATCAATCATGCAGATTCCTCATAGGACCTCCTCTGGGATGCCTGTTGGGAAATGGACACCTTCTTCATGTTCCTTTGCCTCTATTGGGCTGTTCAGGGACATCATCCCTAAGGTCATCTCTGCTGGTACACATCCTTCTCACGTAGGCCTTAGACATGACCATTTTAGAGCCATTTGTTGCTCTGCTGAATGGGAAGAAGAAAGGCTGCTAAGGGCCCAGTCTGAGGTCAAGGCCTTGGAGCCCAGAGCTCACACTGCCCTGTGTTTCTCTTTCAGGTAGGTGAGCTCCAGAGAAGCCAGCCCTGCCAGAGACCTCCATTTTTGGTGGATGGTGCTCTGAGCGACAGTGCGCGTCAGCATTTGGATCTATGGACCTGCTTTGAACCATAGAGCCTGCCTATGGGGGAAGGTGAGTAGCCCTAACGCCCCCTCTGTCTGTCTGTTTCTTCATCAGCATGGTGGAAGCAAAGCCAGGGTCCCTGTTAGGGAACACACGTGTTGGCAGTGCGACTGTTCTTTGTTCTGTCCTGCTCCATTCTGTTGGGCCCTGAGGCGCTATATATACTTTGGAGAGTTGTACACCCTCAGGTCACCCCAAAGGCTGGAACCTCTCTCCTGGAGTTGGCCTGAGCAACCAGGAATCATGAGGCAAGCCCAGGCCTAGGGAATGGAGAACAGCAGCTGTTCTGGGATACTGATGGCTGCCATGGGGTTTTAGTCCCCTTTCTGTTTTCTGATACCATGGCAGGAATAATTATTTATTTTGTTCATTATCATCCATAATGCTTTCTGGTGATATGGATAGTAGAAAGGGCGGGTGCTTTCTGATACTATGGTAAAAAGAATAATATTTATTTTGGATTGTTCATTAGCAGCCCTGCTGCTTTCTGACGACATGACTGGTGCTTTCTGGTTGGGTACATGGCCGTAAAGAGAGGCTTCTGCCCCTCGTTGCAGCTTTGGATGGGCAGTGAGAGAGGTAAGGGTTCAGGGTCACCTTCTGTCTTCCTTTAGTGCCTCCTCCCCAGGCTCACTGCAGCCCAGACCTGCATGTTCGGCTGCAGCCCGATGAGAGCTCCCTGAAGAGGGTTAGAAAGGGCCCTGCAGCAGTAAAGGGGCTCAGTGCACAGACAGTGGGGACAAGGAAGCACCTAGGCCTCGTCCGCAGCTGGTAGTGGAGCCACAGGGCAACTGACTGGAGGCTTAGTACTTGAGGATCACTCTGCTCCCCACAACATTTCTCCCACTCAACCAGTCTCCAAGCCACCCTTTCTGTTCCTCAGTCCTGGCCTACACCCCCGCTTTGGGACCCTACCAGTCTCCCAGGGAACTTCTTGGATTGGCCTTTGCTGGGCCAGGCAGAGCTGGGCAGCAGAGTTATGGGTTGGTGGTCAAGGTGAGAGAGAGGTTTGCAGAGAACGAATTATACTAGTCAGGGCACCGGCTATGGCTGTACAGCAAGAAGGAACAAAACCATCTCACCTTGTGTCATGGGACCTTCTCTGAAGAGTTTATTTCAGTTTATCCCAGATCCCAGGGCAATGACAGACCAAAGGAATGATTTGATCCAGTTGTACCTTGGTGAACTAATGAGTTTATTGGAATTACTTACAACAGCACAGAGAAGAGGTTACTTACAGGAGCAAGGGGAAATTACAGGCAGGCAGCTGTATACCACTGAAGACTTTCTCCATATACCTCCCACCCCACCACAGCAATTACTGGGATAGAATACTTATATACCCTTGGGGAGGAAAGGGACCCAGTGAGCTTTCCACTTCTGCTAGGAGGGGGTGTTAAAGGGCCTGATTTTGTGGATCTTGTAAAGGTCGCATAGAGATAACCATAGACACTCTGATTTCAAGATGTTAAGGACCATGCTGTGCCTGGAAGTCAGTGTTCTACAACATGCCCTCTGCTGGGCCAGTGTCCTGTGTTGGCTAGGCTTCCCACTGCCATGTGCTTTAATTCCCAGGTGAGATGAAGAGCTCCCTCTTCTGCCTCTACCCAGAGGAGACTGATCCTAATAGGCTCACCCACCAGAGAGGCCTCAGATCTGGGACAGTTGGTGTGACCAACAAGCTCCTGAAGTCCCTGCTTCCTACAGCCACACCCCTGCACTGCCCAGAGCATACCTCTAGGACTTGCTGTGCCCTATGTGAAGGTCCATGGTCTTTCCCAGGCACACGTTCCCTGAACGTATGACCATGCAGACTCCTGTACCAGCAAGTCTGAGTGCTGGGATTGCAGGTGTGCATACCTGATGTAATTTATGTATTTTTGACCCAGAAATTATATGCTGTAAATATATATGGTGGGGAGGTCACAAGACAAAGACTAGATAAATAAGACCCACATAAATCTGCTACAGTTATAGAGGCTGGAAGCTCAATTTCAAGATGCCAGAAAGTCTGCTGATGTCTGGTAGGGATGCAGCTGCTTCCAGTCTGGAGCCTTCTTGGACACTGCATCCTTTGGAGACACAAATACTGTGTTTCTGTGTTACAGGAGGACCACCTGGCAAGAGAACCAAACTGGTCTCCCTGAGCCTCTTGTGAGACACTAGGTGGAGGCCGCAGCCTCGTCACCTTCACAGGCCCCAGTACTGTCATGGTAGAGATTGATCTAGCTAGCTTTCTTGGTTTTGTTTTCTTAAAGGTGGGGTCTCACTATATAGTCCTGGCTGGCCTGGAACTTGCTGTAGACCAGGCTAGTCTTGAACTCTCAGAGATCTGGCTGCCTCTACCTCCTGAGTGCTAGATTTAAGATGTGCACCATCACATCTAGCCTGGAGATTGATTTTCACTTGATCTTAGCCAAAAGGCCGAGAAGCAATGGGGATTGATTTTCAACATACGTATTTGAGGGTAAACATATGCCCCAAACTTTAGCAATATTACTAAAACATTGCTCAATATACCAACTCAAAATGTCTGACACACTCAACTATTGTAGACTCATTATAGTTCTACACACTAAAACATAAAACGGAGTACCTGAAATCTTATTCATAAAGTGAAATATCAGGAATTTGGTACTATTGGCTAAACCTAAGTGCATTAACTGAAAGTATTTACTATGTAATACTAAATGCAAAAAAGAGGACAAATGTGGGCAGTTTGGTTCTATTTTGTTTAAAAGACACCGTGATGGAACCTAGATAGTACGCCTACCAGATTGCAGATCCAGGTTGAATGTTCTGGGGAGCATTTCATTATGTTATTTCTCTATACTGGATGTTTATTACTTATATTATTTACTTGGTGAGGTTTTGGGACTCCCCTTTTTTTTCTGTGCTGTGGTGGACATTGCAGAGTTACTAGCAATTTCTATGCTTAAAGTGACCAGCTCCTTCCACTGTGCAGTCTGCCTTCTGGTACAGCCCATAGTTCCTTAGTTCCTCCTGGCCTTCTTCTCATATATGCTTGCTTGTGTTTTTGTCATTAACCTCCTTTGATACTGTATAAATAGCTAGATAAAGTTAACACATCAGTAATCAAGTATCATGGGATAGCCGCTCTCTCCTGCTTGGTAGCAGAAATGCTCAGTTTGATGATGGCCAGTATGCATGTTACCCCTCCATTTAGGTATCAAGTACTTGAGCCTGGGGGTCCTGAGTTGGTCCCTTTATCCTGCCTGTACATATCACAGCCCACATCCAGACCACCTTAAATGACTTAGCATGCTCATCTACTTCTGAATGTATAAATAGGCTTGCTTCTCAGGACTGACTACAATTAATTAAAAATAGGGAAGGCAAGAATTTCCAGTCTGTCATTTTGTGTACCTAACCCAGGTGAGTTGGGTACTGTTCACCTGGTCCCTTGAGAATTTGGGTATCTCCATAGTCAGTGTCTAGGGATCTGCCTCTGCCCACACTGCACATGGATGGTCAGCGCGATGGTAATGTCTAATGCGAAAAGCTGTGTCTGGATTAATACTAGCCAACCCCCCTCCCCATTTCAGGCTGAGCTGCTATGTATATGTCCTGCAGGCACACTGGCTTGTTCAGTCCTGTTGGGGGCAGGAGCCATTGAAATGACAGCCATGAGTGCTGGGTGCCCCTCCAAGGGCACAAGGGGAGCTGGGTGAAAAGTAGGTCACATGTGCCTGGGCGATGTCACGTGGTTCCCACCCCAGGCCAATGGGATGGGTGGCCTCTTTCGGTTGAGAACAAAACATCACTCTAATTTTTCTCTGTTAGCATTTCATCTTCTCTAAACGGGGAGAGTAACCATCTGTCTGGCTCCCACACCCAACTCGATCCTCTTGACCCTACAGGGCTGCTTTGTTCGGAGGTAAGGGGATTCTACGGGCCTGGGTGAGTGGTCAGCAGAGCAGGACAGGTGGCCAAGGCTGACAAGAGTCCTAGCTCAGATCTCCAGGTGGTGTGGCAGAGTGTGCCAAGGTCACATATTTGACACATTGGGAGAAGGTGCCGAAGGAACTGCCATGATGGCGCTCAGAGCTCTTCTGGGCAGTGGGGAGAGCGGAGTTGGGTTCTATATACGAGCGGCTCTAGATATTTAGACATTGGGTCCTCTGCTTTCATCAGGCAGTTCTTTTGGGGAGGACCAACGGCATTTTAATGTTCTTTACTATTGAGGTGACATTATTTGAAAAAAAACAGTAAGAGCATACAATTTTACGTATGTTTTGTTGGTCAGAAATACCAGATATGGAAGGAATATAATCCCTACCCTGGACTATGTGAGCCATCCTTAGAAACAGGGTCCAGTGTGCTCTGGATCAATTTTTTCCTTAAGTCCGTCTTTGTTAGAGGCTTAAACCTCTGAAGTTACTCAGAAAGTTATATGTTTCCATGGGTAAGAGCATTATGAAGCCCAAATATCAAAAGATCTATGAACACATATTATTAATAAATGGAAAAGTATATTTTAGAGTTTAATATTTATATTGAACAATTTACTAGTTAGCTTTTTACCAGGCAAGTCATTGAACATGATCCCCAATGGTAAAGCCTATGTGAGTATATAATAGTTTTAAAATATTTATTAAAAACTGATATACATTTTTATAGCTTATAAATAACAAAATTTCACATTTTTGCCTGTCCTGTAAATAAGCTCAGGTGTGCATTGCCTCAGGATGTACCAATGTGCGTGTTTGACAAGCATGTATGTGTTTGCAAGATCTGGTTATATCTGCCCCATTCAGACACGGGGAAATGCTTCCAGAAATAGTGTACCAGAACAAGAATTGTAGCAATTTAATCTGAGTGTGTTCCACCAGGAACTGTTCTTCCTTTCAGATGAAATCTGAGCTTATTCCTGTTCTCCGGGAAGCGTGGTGTGTGGCCAGCATTGTAAGGATAAGCACCAGCACTTTGCTCATGCATGCTGTCCATCTCTGTTGTGTGGCACAGTAGCTAGACCCTTGGTGACAAAGCAGGGCTCACAAGGACTCCTTGTCTGATAAACTTACAGCCTTAGTGAATCCTGGATGTTTTCTAAAGAGCATTTCTTGAACTGTTTTGCAATCTTGAGGAAACAGAGTTTTGTTTGTTTGTTTGGGTTTTTTGTTTGACTAAGACAGGGTAGGAATGTGCAACATTTTCCTTATTTGTAGCTGTTAATCTGATGCCTGGAAAAAGCCCCATACACTGATGCAGTTTGAACGTTGTCCCTTTGTGCCTCCTGTGACATGTATCGGGGAACTAGGCTTGATGGGAGCACTCATCCACAGCAAGTGAAGACAGAGGTGTACAGCTGTGGCAGTCATACATGTTCATGTGACATTTGAAATCGTAATGTTCCCCTTTGTTTCTCAGGTGAGGGATGAGGGCTGCCTCTGGAAATGAGCCCATTCATGGGATATGGGTATGCTTTGTGATCCTTGATTCTCCGAACCCCTGGGAAAGATTACAGCCATGGCCTGTGGTGATGTGCAGAGGAGAGAGTCCTAACACAGGCTGGAATGCTGACTGTGTGCCTGTCCTCTGCCCCCATTCATACTGGAATGGCCCTTCTTGTCCCCACCACCTTCATCCTATTCATTGTTGAGCTGGGGTCTCTGTGGGACTTGAAGGGCCACCTGTGAAGCTGGGTTTGGGAGTGTCCTGAGACAAGTTGTCATCCCATTATTCTGTGTTTGAGAGGTAAGTGATGTTCCAGGAGACAGCTGGGCCCTGCTCAGAGGCCAGAAGCCTCAGTAAAGCATTCTTCAAGCGATTAGAGGGGCCTGGGGAAGATCTGACATGAGGAGCACCCCACAGGTGGAGCCATCTGAAGAGATGTCCTGATTCCAATGGAGTAGGCTTCAGAGGACCAACGTCTCAATATTGGGAGCTGGGTATCAGGAGGTCCCCAAAAGTGCACGGGGCCATCTATTGCAGAACTGTTGCATACAACCTATCTGGTTCTCCAATTTAGCCACAAAGCATCTGGCTTCTGCATCTTGGCTGCCCTGCTTATGAAACAGAACAGGTCTCTGGTTGTCCAGGTGTGATCTCTGCACCCCCACTATCCCCTAAGGACCCCGTGGAGATGCAGATTCTGTGCTGCCTGCCTCAGATCAGTGGAGTCGGAACCTCTGGGCTGGGCCACGTAGGACAGGCCTCTCTGGTGGTACGTGTCACGTCCACTCTGAGTCTGAGAACCCCTGGTGTGGCTATGAAGTGAAAATTTAAAAGCAGGGCTCCTGATGCAGCTGGAGTTGGGTGCAGAGGGTATGGACCTGAGTACCAGGTCTGGGAGAGCAGAGGACGCTGCCAGTGCATACCTGGTCGGATGCACGCAGACCGCCTAGTGGGGTGTTTGAGGCCGAGTCACTTTGCTTTAGTCGTGTGCAGCCAGAGCTTTCTGGAGGAAAGGGCACAGGCTGCCCCATCGGCACCTGATGGGACTGAGGCTTGTGGAGACGAGGAACACACCTGCTAGAACTCAAGGTGAGCTAGAGCATAAGCCCGAGGCCACTGCTGGAGCAGGAAGGATGCTGCAGTGGCTGTGACTCGTGCTGACTTAGGACCGACCGCCACTGGGAAGGGTGTCCAGAGGCCACTCGGTGGAGTGGTCTAGAGAGGCGAGGAGACCGCAGTAGCCGCAGCTGGGCTCTAGACAGATGGTCTCAGTGAAGAAAGGGCCTGTCTGTGGCTGGGGGACAAGCCCTGGCAAAGCCGAGGACTGAATGGGACAGCCATATGCAAACTCTGTCTTCCTGCTGCATGGCGATGGGCTTTGAACGCCGCCGCTTGCCTCCCTCTCTTCCTTTGCACAGGCATGCTGGTGTGGGGCACCGTCGTTAAAAACAAGGTAAGGACAAAAGGGACAAGAAACCTGTGTAAGAATTTGCTGGCCGGGTGGTGGTGGCACACGCTTTCAATCCCAGCACTTGGGAGGCAGAGGCAGGCAATTCTCTGAGTTCAAGACTAGCCTGGTCTACAGAGTGAGTTCCAGGATAGCTGGGGCTACACAGAGAAACCCTGTCTCAGGGGGAAAGAGAAAGAATGTGCTGTCAGGGCTGGTGGGAATGGCTCAGTTAGTAAGGTACTAATGGGACCCGAGTTCAATCCCCAGAATCCATATGAAAAGCCAGGCACAGTGGCATAAACATTCCAGCCCCGGAGGAGCAGAGACAGGCAGATAGATCCCTGGGAGCTCTGTGGCCGGCCAGCCTAGCCTGCTTAGTAAGGTCTGGGCCAGTGAGAGACCGATCTCAAGAAACAAAGTGGGTTACACCTTAGGAACAACATCTGAGGTTGTCCTCTGGCTTCCACATGGGTGCATGAATGCATATGTATGTCCGCATGCTTATACATACATGCTATCGTAAGACTAATCAAAATGTTACATATGAATGGGGGCAGAGACAGGTGAGAATGCCTAGTTCTGTTCTGCTATAATCAAAGTGACATTGAGATCACTAAGAATGAATAAGCTAGTCAATAAATGCTACTGGGTAATTAGAAGTCTGGTTTTGTTTTATTTTTTAAGGGCTAAATTTAAAATGTCACACAAATTTTGGGATGGACTAAAGAGATACAGGCATAAAAATGACATGTTGGCCTTTTTGTATGTCTTTTTGTGATAAAGCATTGTAGGCTGCACACACCCCAGAAGACCTGAGCGCACAGTGGACAGGCAGCACCTTTTCAAAAAGAGTAGTGTTGCACCCAAAGCACAGGGTCATAAGTGGCCAGACAGATAAGTGTGCACAATGGGAAGGAACTGACGGACAGCCTCGTGCAGGTTGGCAGGAGTCAGGATGGCATCCTGCCCACCTACCCTGCAGGCTTGGTTGGGTGTGAACCACACTACTTTGTGGAACATGGCTGGTCATCTCTGCCATCATTTTAGTGCAAATACCTTTTAGCCCTGCCGTTTTTGCTGCAAGCTGATTAAACCTTATTGCACAGAGATCCATGTCTGGAATGTTCATCACATTATGGTTTATTAAAAATAATTAAATAAGGAAGACCTTTAATTCCCACGGTCAGGACATGGGAAACTTGGCTGAAGTAAGTCCTAACATGGCTCCATGGAGACTCAGCCTCCAGGCCACAGTGACTCCTTTCCCTGGCTCAAAGAACTGCTGATAACCATCAACAGGAGACGTGGCAACCGTTTGTAACGTGTGGAGTTCTGTTTTACAATAAGATCTGTGATACTGACTGAGAGCCACACCTGTCACACAGCAGCATGGGTGACTCGGTGTCAAAGAGGCCAGGCCCAGAGAACATAGAGGGGTACTGCAGTGCTGGGTGAAGTCCTTAGTGGCTGCCTGGCAATGCCTTACTTTGGATGTGAGTACATGATTGGTATTGCATGGTAAGTGCTGTGTGACATCTGAGCTGTCCCCTTCATATTTGTGTCAGGATTGTGTCTGTGCTTAAAGTGTAAGTCCCAGACATATATAGTGTGGTACTTGTGCAAGGCAGGGCTAAGCAAAGCCCAGCAACTGAGACATGTGGTATGTGACTCGCTGGAGTCCCTTCCAGAGTAGTTCTGCTGGCATTCCTGATAGAGAAGCCCCTGCTCTGACAACTAGAAAAGTGTGTTTGGTTTCTGACACTATTGTTGAGCCTGGAGATAATATCAGCGCAACAATGGACCCACAACTGTATAGCCACAACACTCTCGAGGTCCCAATATCTCTACTCTGATCGGGCATTTTTTTTCTGACCGGTCCCTGGGACTGTACCCAGTGAACAACTAGTCTCCAGAGACCTGGGGCCCACAGCACCAGGAAGAAAGGAGGAAGGGGCTGTGGCTGAACTAGAGTCAACGCCATAGCTTCCTGCCTCGTTGCTTCTCGTAGGGACCAGATGGGGTCTCCTTTA